GATGGATGGATGGATGGATGGATGGATGGATGGATGGATAGATAGATAGATAGATAGATAGATAGATAGATAGATAGATAGATAGATAGATAGATAGATAGATAGATAGATATTATTTTAATTTTCAAAATAAAGCTGTATGTTTTGACTCATAAATAAAATAAAAAGTAAATAATTTTCTTATTCAAAACTGCTCATTGTGTGACACAACTACAAAGAAAACTAAGAAGAAACTGTTTTTTGTTTTCACACCCCACCCCTGCAAAAAGTGTTCCAAAAAAAATTTGAATTCGCAATTTGAAGCGGCGCAGGAGAGTGACGTCAGTGGCAACTCTTCCTCTGCTGCCTCACACCGCCCATTCTTACGCATCTTGTACGGTAGGGAGTGGTGATTAGGAGGTAAGCCCTACCTGCACGTAACAAGGCACTCCCTCACATAGCACAATCCTTGTTAGAATTAGTTTCCTGTGTAGAATTAAATGCAATTTCTCAGTCGGACTTACATGATAGACTTGAGCAGATCACAGAGAACTTGGTTGCATACTCTGCCATCACTGATACCCATGTCAACAAAGTTGCTCTAGCTAACCTGCTCTCAGTCTTTCAGCATTTCAACACGGCGTCACATGAAAAGGAGCAACCGGCCATCAACATCCATTTCAGTGTGATAGAAACTTATTTATTACATGCCCTCAAAGTGAAGGACATTGTGAAGCTTTTTGGCGTAAGCCGCCAGACCATCCATCGGAGGATGATAAGTATTGGATTGAGTTAAGCTCATTATTATTATTATAGTTGTTGTTATTGTTATGCTAATATTTGTTGAAGGACCTTATACTAATTATAAAGGATGAGCAAGTATGCTTTCAAAATTCTATTAAACTGAGATGGATTCCTAATTTATGCACAAAGTGTGCAAGCAATAGATGCGCTGTTAGAGGCGGCCGCTCGTCGCCTGCCCCCAAGTAGTCTGTCATGGATAGGGTTAGGTCATATCAATAGTCCAAATTGACTAAAAGTTAGCAAAACGTTTATGTATGTGTAACCCAGCATTTCATATACTGGTATGTTATGTGCATTATCGTGTTGCATATGTGACTGCTGTGTGCACAGCTAAAACAAACTGGCGGATTATGCATAGCAATTAATAAACATTAATCACAATGAATTCAATGAACATTTCATCATATCACCCTAGCTAAACGTTGGCAGCACTTAATTTCCTTTCATTGTACTCTTGCTTTCTGTGATGCTTTTGATATATTTTGTTCATTTATTTTTTGTGAAGCACTTTGGGTTGTTTTGTACATGAAATGCTATATAAATAAACTTGCATTGCCTTATTGATGTAACTATAGTAGTAGTACTGCTTATCAGGATTGGGTTAATCAACCCAGGTAAAATGACATATCCCAGATAATCCATTTTCATAGTACATACCTCTAGTAAAAGGCAAAAAATAAAACAACAATAACAATCCTGTCATAGATCATCATGTCACAAACCTGGTAACAAACAACAATCACGGGTTGACACAAATTTTTGAAATTCACTTGAACTGATTATTCTAGTGCTATCATGCAACTATGATTACTGTTTATCTAATATCAAAATCATAGACTGTACAAATGATGTAACATTGCCCTACTCTATTAATTGTAGCTTGAAATTCAGAGGGAACTGACTTCACAGGAATGACGTGAGGTGAACAACGTGGCCTTCAGTGGGATCTTCCTCCAATCAATGATGACAACAGGAGGTGGTTGACTGAGAAAATCCTACAGCATGCGGTATGAAGAAAAAACAAATTAAAATATGTACATTTGAAAGAAGATTTACTTGTATATTACTTGTAGAACAAATTGATGCACTACTGTAATGTCTTCTTGATCACCAACATTTGTATATAAATTATGCTTTGCAAACATTTTTAGGTTGTTGAACGGAGACAAACACAAATGAATCAACTAGGTGCAGGACTGAAAGATGATGGTGTTCTCATCATGATCAAAGAGCATCCTGTCCTAGCCGCAGTCTTTTTTCCAAGATCTGCAGAGCAAGCTATGGACCTGCAAGTAATTGGAATCTTTATTGTAATTGTACTTCTAAAACTGGAATAAGGCTTTAATTGTGTAGTGTGTCAAAGTCAGCTTTGCTGAACCTTCACTACAATATAAATTAAATAACGGGTTCTCTCTTTTTCAAGCTAATTACAGCCATGTGACAAAAGTAACTGTGCAAAGATGGTTTAATCAGTGATGCTGAGATGTTAATTTTCTTTGACCCATCAAAAAAAATGTGGTCATTCATTGAACAGAATCAAAATTTAACATCAAAACATTGTACACTTGATTAGTTGATCTGGTTCTGATTAATAAAACTTGGCACGTTTTACTTAATAAAAACAGACATTTCTGAAGACCTCTAGATTAATTACTGGAGAAGTAGAAGAGTTTTAAAGATGGGAAATATGAGGAGTTTAAATGGAGAGGTGTGAATGGATCAAGAGGAAAGTGTGTTGACTGGGAACGGCACCCTTCATCCGACCTCAGCTCAGCCTCGGTACACTAGGCGCGTGGCGACTCGTTACCTTTAGACGGGGATACCTCCGCTCAGGAACAGGAGTCCATTTCAACGCGACCTTTCAGCGTCTCCAGTAAGGATGGCTGAGAATCGTCCGAAGTAGTGACGATACTCCGTTCAACAAACACGTTCATCTCCCGGTTGGATACACAGCAAGCTGTGAGTCCGTAAGAGGTTCCACTCAGGTGTAGAAGGATCCATCACAGGCTCCGAAGGCTAAGTTCAAGACTAGACTTCATCAGAGACCCAGGAAGACTCCAGTCCCGGACTCCAGCAAACTAAGAACTCAAGACTGAGAACTGCAGAACTGCCGCACTGACTCCAGAACTCCAGAACTCAACTCTAGAACTTAATAGTTCCAGAAAGTGTCGACTTTTAAAGAGTTCTCACTTTAGGACCTCCTGATTGGTTGAAGCAACCAGCAGGGGGTGGTTCTAGTCAAGAAAACAGCAGTAATGTTTTGAGAACGGTTAGTTACAGATGAGAAAATATTTTGGAGAAATGACAGACTTACAGGTGCCAGTTTTTTTTATTTACTGTCTGAGAGTTTTAAAAACACGACACTTCGTTCCAATAACTTCCCTCTGACTTAAGACCGACATCACTACTTCTCATTTAGACAGAAGATCAAAAATGCATAATTACTTTGTAAAATAGACATTTTAACTTGATTTCTAATTTAAATGAGCATTAAAAAATTAATTAATACTGTTTCACAGTTGATTTAAAATGAGTGGTTCACTTCAACATTTAGAAATGGTATGAACTAAACACACTTTTGATTTATCAAGATATTGTAAAATAGTGATGATAATATAAAAGAAGAGTGTTCTTTCAATTGATTACTTCAGGATACAATTAGACAGTCTCTGGATGAGCTAATTTGTATTTCTGGATTCAAATCAATGAAATAACAGTTCCTGTCCCATGAAGGTCCTCAGAGGCAGGTTTTGGTCGGAGGCCGAGTCCGCTACAATTGAAACACAATAAAGTTCTATCATTCAGATATTATAAGCCTCCCAATATTACTGTATATCCAATAAATGCCCCCCCCCCCCACACACACACTTTTTTATGATATTTTTGCATAATACCTCCACTGTAAATATACCCTTTCAAATTATCATCTTTGAGAATGTTTTTGTTTCTTGGACCATTTTGAAAAGGATCATCTGGCCCATGCCAGATAGTAAGGATGTGTAGGGATGGCACCCTCTGGTGGTTGGTTCCCATCCTTACACCTCCTGGTTTCCCTGTCCTGGTCATTTATGTCTACGTGTCCTGTCCAAGTGTTTGTGATTGTGTCTGATTACTCTGTGTATATCAGTCTGCGTCCTTGTTTAATTTGTTGTTGGGGCATCGTCTATGATTACCGTGTCTTCGTCTGGTTCTCGTGAATCCCTGAGTTTCCCTATGTAGTGTTCTAAAGGGCTAGGTTAGCTTCAGAGCTTCACTACAGTCATATTTAAAATAACGGTTTCTCTCTTTTTCGAGCTAATTACATTATATGTGAAAGAGGTACTGTGCGTAGATGGTTTAATCAGTGACATGAGACGTTAATTTTCTTTGACCAATCAAAATAAATGTGGCCATTTATTAACAGAATCAAAATTTAACATCAAAACATTGTACACTTGATTAGACTGATCTGGTTCTGATTAATAAAACTTGGCACGTTTTACTTAATAAAAACAACAGACATTTCTGAAGGCTTCTAGATTAATTACTGGCAAGATAGAAGTTTAAAGATGGGAAATTATGGAGGAGTTTAAAGGAAGATGTTGAAGGAAGATGTATGTCTGTAGACCAGAACAACACGCTCCCTCCAAACGTATTTCACCCACGGTACACTTGTAGTGAAGCTCGTGACGACTCTTTACCTTGGCAGAGGATGGATCCGCTATGGTCAAGAGGTCCCTGGCACGCTACCTTTCAGCGTCTCCTCAGGGCGGCTGCGACTTGGCAGAAGTCGTGAGATACTCCGTTCAACAGAACAAACTTCCTCAGAAGTTGTAGGTCATTCGCCTGGTGATAGTCACAGCGAGGCGCTGTGCCTCCAGCAGAGATGGATGACTCCATCAGACTGGAAAACTGAGTCTGAAGTTCCACTCAGCAGTGGAAAAACTCCAGAACTCCAGAACAGCTAGAACTCTCCCAGAACCTCAGAAGACTCCGAAGACTCAGAAGAACTCAGAAGAACTCAGAAGACTCACAGTTCCAGGAAGTGTCGACTTTAAAGACTTCTGCTTCTGGTCACTTTAGGAAGTCCTGATTGGTTGAAGCAACCAACAGGGGTGTGGTTCTAGGGACGTCAAAGAGTTTTTACAAGTCAAGAAAACAGCAGAAATGTTTAAGAACAGAGAGAAATATTTTGGCGAAGTGAGAAACACTACAGGTGCCAGTTCTCTTATTTACAGTCTGAGAGTTTTAAAAACACGACAGCCCGTTCTAACAACTTGTTTTTGACTGTCTCCGACTTTTGACCAACATCACTCTTTCTCATTTCAGACAGGAGATCAAAAATGCATAATTATGTTGTAAAATAGACATTTAACTTGATTTCTAATTTAAATGAGGATTAAAAATCATTAATTCTGTTTCACAGTTGATTTAAAATGAGTGGTTCACTTCAACATTTAGAAATGGTATGAACTAAACACACTTTTGATTATCAAGATATTGTAAAATAGTAATGATAATATAAAAAAGAGAGTGTTCTTTCAATTGATTAGTTCAGGATACAATTAGAAAGTCTCTGGATGAGCTAATTTGTATTTCTGGATTCATATCAATGAAATAACAGTTTCTGTCCCATGAAGGTCTTCAGAGGCAGGTTTTGACTGGAGGCTTAGTTCACTACAGTCCCCCCTTTGGAAATCATCGCCTGTCCATGGGGATGAATTCCAACATGAACTTACGCCTCCGAATGTCCTTGAGCTTGATGTAATCCAGCAAGAGGAAAACAAAAGTCAAAGAAGGTAATCCCACAACAGTTTAGGTAATTCCACAATGTTGTTGGTAATTCCATAATGTTGTTGATAATTCCATAATGTTATTGGTAATTCCATTGCAGCAATGCTTTAACCCCTTGGAAACAAAGTCTGTAATCCATTAGAAAAAGTCATTTAATCCACAACGATAAATCTACAACGATTGGAGGTGTTGATTGATCAGCATACGGAGGGGTTCCCTTGATTGAACCGCAGAGGCGACCACTGGATGAAGATTGGAGACCCACGTTGGAGTTGTAGGTCCCTTCAGCGCAGGTTGCTGCTGGTGGTTCCCAGTGGGTGCAATTCTGGTTCTATGTGTTATGCATTTATGTGGTTTTAGTTGGGTTTATGAGTGGGATTTTACATAAGACCTTAACCTATATGCACCTGGTGTGTAAGCTGTCATGGTTTAGATCAGCTAAAGTTACCAGTTTAAAGGGTGGGTCATGCTGAAAAATTTTCATATAGGGACTTATACCTATAGAAGGGCATTCCAAACAATTTTTCCATTCCTAACTTGGTTTAAGTTAGATTTACATGGCAAAATATAGTTTGGTTCAATTGACTGTTGTCCTTTTAGGCGAACGACTTGAGGTGTGGTTTTTGGTTCTTCCCTAAATGTTTTGGAGTTTATGGTGAGACTCAACTGAAGGATTAGCTAGCCCCCCCCCCCCCCCCCCCCTCCGAATAGGATTGTTCGAGTAGGTTCGGCTTGAGCGTCATGAGACAAATGTAGATTATGGTACTTAAGGTAGCATTAATCTACATTGACTCCGCAAAGATTGCATTTTAACAAATGAACTGCATGTTGGCATAGTTAAAGTCCTCATAGTCTCTAACTAAAATACACACAAAATTCATTCTTGCTTGGGGTGTTCAGAAACAATACCAAACCCAATTAAACGATGTCTCAACATCGACAAAAACAGTGACTAAACAACCAGTAAAACAACGTTTCAACATTGACAAAAGTAGTGATTAAGCAACTTGGAAACAACGTTTCGGTGCGTCACTCACTCTGAATGTCAGATTTGATTACGTTATTGCGTCTGGTAATATTACCCTAACTGACGTCACCCCCCTTCGGTCATGGGGGACCGCGAACACGGGTGAGGACGTCGCTCCATGAGCTAAAGTTAGGTTGTCCTTGAGTAGTTTTAGCTGTTTGCGCAGCTGAAAGAGGACTTCAAGGTCTGGATCGG